AGCCTGTGCTCCGCAAAGGGAGAGGCCACAACAGTGAGAGGCCCGCGTACCGCAAAGAAAAAAAAATGGATTAGAGAACTAAATGTAAGACTGGACACTATAAAACTCTTAGAGGAAAACATAGGAAGAACACTCTGACATAAATCACAGCAAGATCTTTTTTGAACCACCTCCTAGAGTAATGGAAATAGAAACAAAAATAAACAAATGGGACCTAATGAAACTTAAAAGCTTTTGCAAAGCAAAGGAAACTACAAACAAGACGAAAAGACAAACTCAGAATGGGAAAAAATATTTGCAAATGAATCAATGGATAAAGGATTAATCTCCAAAATATATAAACAGCTCATGCAGCTCAATATTAAAAAAACAAACAATCCAGTCCAAAAATGGGCAGAAGACCTAAATAGACATTTCTGCAAAGAAGACATACAGATGGCCAAGAGGCACATGAAAATCTGCTCAACATCACTAATTATCAGAAAAGTGCAAATCAAAACTACAATGAGGTGTCACCTCACACCAGTTAGAATGGGCATCATCAGAAAATCTACAAACAACAAATGCTGGAGAAGGTGTGGAGAAAACGGAACCCTCTTGCACTGTTTTTGGGGATGTAAATTGATACAGCCACTATCAACAGTAGGGAGGTTCCTCAAAAAACTAAAAATAGAACTACCATATGACCCAGCAATCCCACTACTGGGCACATACCCTGAGAAAACCATAATTCAAAAAGAGTCATGCACCCCAATGTTCGCTGCTGTGCTATTTACAATAGCCAGGTCATGGAAGCAACCTAAATGCCCATCGACAGACGAATGGGTAAAGAAGATGTGGTACATATATACAACGGAATATTACTCAGCCAAAAAAAGGAACGAAATTGGGTCATTTGTAGACACTAGATGAATCTAGAGACTGTCATACAGAGTGAAATAAGTCAGAAAGAGAAAAACAAATATCGTATATTAACACGTATATGTGGAACCTAGAAAAATGGTACAGATGAACCGGTTTGCAGGGCAGAAATAGAGACACAGATGGGGAGAACAAACGTATGGACACCAAGGGGAAAGTGGAGGGGTTGGGGTGGTAGTGTGATGAACTGGGAGATTGGGATTGACATGTATACACTGATGTGTATAAAATGGATGACTAATAAGAACCTGCTGTATAAAAATAAAGAAAATAATTTTTTTTTAAAAAAGCAGTCCTTATTCATCATCCCATTTCTCAAAATTCCCATGGGTAAGGTAAATGCTGATGATTCCTAAATCTGATTTATTTATGAAATCAACAAATATTACTTGAGTACCTAGGAAGTATCAGACACTACCTAAGGCGCTAAAGATATACTACGGTCTTTCTCTACAGAGATTATTATCAATTATGGAAAACAGCAAGTCTAACAACATGTACGAAAGAGGAAGATAAGTGTAATAAGTATAGGTTGCTATGGGAGAAGAAGAGGCAGCCTAATTTGGGTCAGAGGAAAGGTAAGAACACCTCGAGGATGCGCTATTTAAACTAAAATTTGACTTATGAGGAGGAATAAGCTTGATGGAATTGGGTGGGAGAAAGACTGTACAGCATGAAGGCAAAGAGTTTGCTGAGCTGAAAAACAGCATATGCAAAGGCTTAAAGAGACAGCCAGCATATAGGACATTAATAAGGAATTAAAAGCAGTTGTGTAGTTGAAGCTTGGGTGGAGGTGGGGAAGCTGGGGAAGTAAGACAGGTACAGGTCAGGAGACGCCCAGGAGCCAGGAAATGAATTGGTACTTTATCTAGAGGCAAAGGAAAACAATTGTGTGGATTTCAATCCAGGATTTTAAACAGCCTGGATTTTTAAGGCTGTTCAACTTGAATACGGTTTTGTAAGACATGGCATAAATTCTTGTGTGCTGCATCACATTCTATGCACATAATATGGGGTGTGAAAATGGTAGATGAGTGTCTGGACTTGACCTTTCTCAAGGAAATCTGCGTAGTACTTTTTAAAGCAGCAAAGAGTGATGGAAGAAGGCAGTACACCATGCGTCAGTTACTAGGTAACAACAATGACAAAACGCTGAGAGAGGTGAGGGTGATGTCTCCTGGGGTTGTGTCAGGGCACAAGAGAGACAAGCAAAGGGATCCCATGAGCTCACTTGTACTTGCACATAAGAACGGCCCCACGTTTCACTTCTAGAGTTGTTCTCTCCAAACCCCATTGAACGCAGACAATAGGGGAGTTGAACCACATCATTTATCCTGGTCCCCGCATGGGGTCAGGTTGGCATATGACAACAACCGGGGGCTGAAGAGTCAAAGGGGCTAAAGAGGAGCTATTGTACCCCCTCCCCTTAGGACTTGGGTCACTTGAAGAATGTACACAAGTTCTATGAGTCTCAGCCTTCCCAACTTTCTAAACGTGGTGACAATTGCTACCTTGGAGGGTATTTTGGAGAAGTTAAAAAGAGTGTGTATGAAAGGTACCTCGACTCTCCCTTGACATATGGTAGGCATTCGATAAGAGGTGGCTCTGGCTGTGATGCTATCAGCTCCATTACCATATGAGAAAGCACAGGGAACAGGGAAGGTAGAAGAAACAGAAGTTTGTTCATAAGACATTGGTGCCTTGGGAGCTACTCCGTTGAATCTGAATTCCTTGAGTGGCAGAAAGTAAATAAATATTCTCAGCCTGAGGGTACGTGTTCGGCAATTATTTCACAGTTGATATTCACACAGATAGCAGGACTATGACCGTTAATTAAGTATTCACTGAGTAGCCTTTTTTCCCCAAAACAAACATATAATTAAGATGTCAGGGTGTGCGCGCGCGCACGTGTGTGTGTGTGTGTGTGTGTGTGTGTGTGTGTGTGTGTAGAGATTATTCCTCTGTAACACAGAGTCATAGAATTAGGAAGTTGAAAGGGTCCTTCTGTTATATACCACAAGTTTAATAGAGTAATTCTGTGGCCAAATAACAGTCAATTTATTCTCCATTCAATGTTGCTAATCTAATTCTATTCGAGTACGTGAGATTCCTAATGCCTAAAATAGGTAATTCATTGCTCTTCTAAGAGAAACTTAGGCCAAATGAACTTATGAAGCAAAATAAGCCAAACCTGTATGTATGTGTGGTTCCGAGGGGGCTCGATCCTATGAAGACAGGAGCAGTACCAGAACATACGTGCAGAATAATGTGACTGAATGAGAAAATTAATGCCATGCTTATATCTGAGTTTTGTTACTTCCCACAGATGTGTCATGCTCCATCAGCACCCAATCCTTCCAACAGCCTCGGAAAATTCCTAGAGAGCTATTAAAAGGTAAATCAGTAAGCCCTCTCATTTCATAGAAGATGCAAACTATCACTTGCACAACTAACCAAAAGCAAGAGCCTGAAATATTATAAACGAGAGGGAGAAAGTTATATTAACCATAATTAATTAAACTTCATTAAGAAGGAAGCTGTATTTGTTCAGGAAAAATCCCTTAGGATAGAAGGTGAGGCCCCAGCTCCAGTTTGCCTTAATTTGGGTAAAATTATCCCATGCTAGACAAGATGGTAAATGTATCCAGGAAGGGAGAAGAAAAGAGAGAAAAAGAAGATAGTGGAAGACTGCATACTCTGCAAGGTGCTTCTTTCTTGTGAAGCTCCCAAATATTTGATAAAATTGTTAAAACTCGCCAAAAGCTCAAAAATATATATTTTTATAAAACTCAGTGAAGAATTTTGTACCATGTTTTGGGTGAAACCAAATCTGTAAGCTTGGGAACAGGGGACAGGGGAGGGGGAGTACAGAGAAAAGCACAGGGGAGGATGCTTATTCCAGGGCACTGGAATTGGATTTGGGTCCAGTTTAATCAAATCCTTACAGGACAGGTGCCTTGGGTTATGTGGGTACACAACTTTTTGATTAGTGGCCAGTGAGTGTAAATTTATCGACTAAAAATTTCACCCACAAACTACACGGGGCACTTATTTTACATTTATAAAGTTATTTGTCCTAAAGCTCTGTTGCTTGAGAGATGGGCATACACAAGTCATTTTAAAATAATGGTATCACGTAAAAAGAATTTTTCTGGCTTGTGGTCAATTTTTAAATGATTTTCCCTTAATGGATTAAAGGACATCCATTGCTGACCTTCGCTCTACCACAAAGGGAAACTCAGGCTCTCCTGAGATCAGCAAACGGCTACTCGGTGTTCATGGAGAGAGTTCCTTTGTGAAAGGTCTCTACTCAGTATTCGACAAATATCGTTGTTTTCAGAATGTTTCAAGCCAGGAAAGATCAGTACACATTTTAACAGTAACTTTATTTGCAGCCCTTTCCAACAGAAAACTCGCCTGCAAAGCAGACCACAGAAGTGAAGTGCCTATTACAGGATAAATGAGGCAGGTTTCTTATCAAGTGCTGTCCAAGCATCATTAGTTTAATGCCTTCACTGTACATGCCAAAGAACGAGAGATGACAGTCACCAACACAATGCCGGCACACAGGTTAGCGATTCCAAAACCAACCCACCTAATAGAGAAGGTCAGAGGAAAAGAAGATAATAAAGGAGGAGAAAAGAAAATAGCTTCCTGTGGACTGAATCAATTTACACCCCAATAGGTCTTAAAGTTGAGTCCCTTTTTTTTTAGTAGAGATCTTAACAATGTCAAGTTCCCATATCAAGTGCTGTCCAAGGAAATCCTGAAATGATTAGCATCGACCATGGAAGAGTAACATTAATAGGCCCTGAAATCCTCCTTCAATAAGGATATATATTTGGATGCCCCTCTTCAACCAAAGATTAGTCAAGCAGGATGGTTTTCTCCTCCATCAAGTATAATAGAATAACCTACATACCTACAGAAACAGTTTCTAGAACTTGTTTGTTTCTTTGCCCTGTTCCAAGTCCCAGAAATAAAAACGATCTTTCCCATGGGGTTCACCTGCTCCACAATGATCTTTGACCCACCCTTTGTTAAAGGGTCCTGGGACAGGAGGAAGACAGTGGACTCACCATTTGATTGCTGTACCAGTACAGTGATGATCCCTTCAGGACCACCCAGAACTTTTTCCATTTGTTGCCTAGGAAAGTTCCTTTTTCCTTTTTCTTACATAGCCACCCTTGGCAGTCAGCGTGCCCCAGGTCTTTACATGATATCCTCCTCCGACTCATGGTGAAAAAACCTGCAACAATTATGTGAAAAGGTAGGTAACATCGTACCCTGATGTATGTGTTCGCTGTTTACCTCCAGGAAGTTGGATTTTTGTACCAAGATTTACGCAAAGCAAATGCAAAAAGAAAGTAATTTATCGATTTTCTTTTTAACCATTCATTTGGTGCTTAGAAGGTACAAGATATGATCAAGGAAACAGTGAGACTCACATGCAAGTGTTAGTCTAAGAATATTCTTCAATGGAATAAGCTGAAAACATGAAAATCATGAGTCTGGCAGGCACATCACTACACTAACACAGCTCGTTTCAACAATAATAGCAGTAGTTATGCAAGAGACGCTAAAGGGTTAATGCCCACCTAGAAACACGGCCACTTCCCCGACTCAGTGCCAGTCTTTCTAAGCTCTATTGACATACCACGGGGGATTAACCCAAACGAACAGCATGCCGTCATTTCTTAAAATCGATCCAAAAGAACCCCAAATTAATCTGCCATCCACCTTCTGATACTAGCATTAAGACAGACAAAAATCAGATCCTAAAGAAGGCATCCAGGAGAAAAGGACTCTCACACACACACAAACGGGATAAAGAAACAAAAGATCTAATTACCTTTAGTTTTCCTTCTCTGCTTCTGACGCAAGGGAACCTGCTGGAAATGCAGGAAGGAAAGAAAAGAGGAAATTTCTGATTGTGTTGTAACATTTGTAACGAGAGAAAGAGGGAGGAGGTGGCAGTATGTACGAGCAGGATGGAAGCTAAAAAAAAAAATTCTCCAAGCAGAGCTAAAGGGGAGCTACTAGCTGAGGCACAAAATGTGCTAATTAGAATCAATAGACATGGAGCTGCACCTGAAAAAAATACGTAACAGCATTTATCACTAATGTTTCCTGTTTCCACCCACAGGCATCTTTCCCACTACCGCTTTCGTTATGACAGGACACCGTTCACTCAATTTCTTAAAAATAATAAAAATATTTCCCTTTTTATTTTTGTGAGAGAAGACAAAATTATGTTGTGCTTCATTTTGTGCCATTTCTAAATAACAGCAATTATTTAAATAAACCTGCAAGATAACCATTGCAATGTCACAATACTACAGGTTCACATCAGATTGTTAAATTCATGGTCCTGCTAATACCATGGGGTTGCATCTAAGCCACATGAAGTAAACATCCCAGAAAAAAGAAGTTCCACAACCTCTTTTGGTGAGATCTAAGTACCTATCAACCCTCCTTATCAGGAAATTCTTATTTACACCTAGATTTAAATTGCATATTGCCTTAAGTATCTCTGAATGTTTCTCGTATGTTTTATGGAAGATAAATTAATTGCCAATTTCTATTTGATACTAGCTCTTCAAATATTCAAATCAGACAAAAGACAATCTGAAATACATGTTTTTCACAATACATTTTAAACAATTCATGTAAAATCATCAGACTATCAGCAAAAATAGAAAACAAAAAAAAATGCTTTCAACGGCTGTGTGTGTGTGTGCAGAGAGAGAAACATTTTAGATTAAAGAAGTTTCATTTTTTCCTCCACAATATCTAAACCGAATTTAGTCAAGTTTAATTGACTTAATCTTTTCTGGTAACAAGTGGAGAATTTGAAAAACATTCTACATAATTGAAAAGCAGTTCTAAAAATTGGTATGCAATCTTATTACAAGATTTTATAATGTTATTTTCGATGTACCTGGCTAGTATTCTCCATATCTAACTATTGATCTAATAGCTACAATGGTTCTACGATATGTTTGAAGAGGGAATATGACAGAGCGGAAATAAAATGGGATTTTAAAATCCAGAGGCCTGAAATCAACTCACGGTTGTCATACGTAGTAGCTGTGTTACTCGGGGAAAAATCCGTTTATTACTCGAAACCAACTTCCTCATTCGTAAAATCAAGATATTTATAATAATTCCAATCCTGTAGGTCTCAAAAATATTTAACAAGATTGTACCTGAAAATGCACTAAAAACTAAAAATACTTTATGTGACTATGTACTATAATACATGATTATAGATATAAACAAGTACTTCATATCTAATAAACAAAAATTTCCTAGTTTTCAAGATAGGTAGGATTTGTATTTCCTTCAGCAACAATGATGAAGTTAAAGTGCTTAAATTGTATTTCCTGGGAAATCCCATACCGACTTTTTATTTTACAAATGTTAGAAGAAAATTTTATTCCTGAAGAAATTAATCATCCTTGTGAAAAAAGGACATGACAAAGGCAATAACTGCTCTAAATTTTAGTCAAGAGTAGACATGCTAGAGTCATGACACACAACTAAAATTTAGGCATTTTTGACCAAGTTCTAGTCTCAGCTTCATAAGATATCTCCCACACTGACCTGCATCTTGGTCTAAAATTCCCACCATTCCCTCAAATGGTCTCCTGAAGTCTTTTCTATAGGCAATTATCTGAGGTCAGCAAAACCTATTAACAAAATATATTAGCCCAAATATCTTATTTGCATAATGTATACCACTTGGAAAGCTAGAACTTAGTGGAGAGCCGGGACGAAAGGTGAAGAAGAGAGTAAGTCAGTTTAGACAGTGGGAACACTTTAGAAAATCTGGGCTCCAGGAGACCCCAGGAAGCACTCAAGACAAACTAAGAACCAGGGGAATAGGGAGAAAAGGGAGTTGTAGACAGAGGCATTCCTAGAACGTTCTGGCCCCATGTGAACAAGGTAAATCACATTAGCTCATACAAAAAAAGCAGCTCTGATAAGAAGAAAAAGAGAAAAAAAAAAAAAAAAAAGAAGAGAGAGAGGAAGTAGGAGAGGACAGCTGTAGGATCTGTAAAGGGAAGCATCACCCACTCCAAGCCTCCTGACTGGGAGCCAGTGAATCTCCTCCATCCATTGCTTATGGGCTCCCAGTGCAGCAAGGGCTCTTCAGCTCTACCACCCAACCTTATGGCTGGTTCTAGAGAAAGCCCCCTATCAAATTGTAGGCTCGGTCTCAACCTTGCCCCACACCAGGCCTCCGTCTATGCTAGATTCTTGTACCTGGGCTGGATGAGAAGTGGGGCTCTAAGCAGGACAATACCTCAAGCGATGTGAGCACCCGAGAGGACTTTATTCAGACTTTTTTAAAGGGGGGCAGGGAGTTTAGTCATTGAGTCAGCCCTCCTCAGACAGTACTTCTCCTAAGGCAAATGATCGTAAAATCTATATAACTGTTCAAACTGTTTCCCCCAACCAGAAGCAGAACTGCATATTATAGAAATGATAAATTAGAGAGGATTTCAGTTTCACTTGAAATATATGAATTTGAAACCTAAACTGGTTTACATGAAAGAATGAAAACAATCTTGAGAACTTAGGTGAGTTTGAGATACATCTAACCCCTCACAACAGGAAATGGAACCCACAAACTAGTCAGTTTCATAAAGGTCTTACATGTGGTTTATTTCACTGGTGAGTGACAAAAAGCCAAGCAAGCAGTGTGCATTTTATGAGACAGTCTTTCCATAGGGAATTATAACAATCATAACAAATACCCGAGGCCTAATCAGATGGTTTTCTCACACAATTTTCTTCCCATTGGCATGTTGTAGGTAAAACTGAAGAATTACTCTAAATTCTGAATTTGCCCTAACTTGGTTCCAAAACTTGAGAAAATTTTCTCTTTTAAATAAATATTCCTTTTTATTGAAAAAGACTATTTTTCTTTTACTTTTTAAGGTGGTTAAAAAAATTCACTCAAAATCACACGTTGTATAAACTTAAAAAGGAACCAGTGTAAAAGATACAAATGGACCTCCTCTGATATTGAATGATGGTGCTCACAACCAAGATCAGGGTAATTATTCTATTGACTTCTAATATATATAGTAACTATTAACTCTTACAGGTACAATTTACCCCCCATGATATATTAAAATTCACCATAAAGTGGTTTGTCATTACATCAAACTTCACAATGGTCCTGGTATTAAGCAAAATTATATAGTGTTATGCTAGTCTTGATTTGTGGCATTTACCCAAGTTCCATGGTGTAAAACTTCACGATTGCCAATTTTAGCGCTACTTTAACGAAGCCACAACAATTCCTAAATATTTTAGATCCAAGCCAGCTCCAGCTGATAAAGCTATTAGGCATGTTTCTCCACAAACACCTTTGCCCCACAAACATCTTTCCTCCTTCCTGGCAAATTAAACTCAACTTTGTAAACAGAATTTTAAAGCTTTTACATATTAAAATTTTACCTGTAAAAATACATGAAAAACTTGCTTAGTTTTTTTCAGAAGACTAACCACTTTAATATTACTTAATAAGTGAATATGAAAAGAAAATCTCTAATAGTGAAAAATGAAGATAGATAAGAGACTTTTATAATAACAATAGACAGTAATTGAAAACAATGATAGCTAAGAAATATATATAAAGCTTATACTCATATAATGTTTGCCATAGGCCAGTCACTGCTCTGAGTCTTTTCATAAATACCTGGATTGAATTCTCACAACATTTATGGCTTAGGTGCTATTATAATGCACATTTTACAGATGAGGAAATTGAAGCAAACGGAGGTTCAGTATTGTGCCCAAAGTCACAGGAGTAAATGGTAAAATGCAAATATTTGTTTCAAGAGTAAAATTCACAAAGTAGTAGCCTTTAAGGTATTTGCTTTGGTTGTTGATGTTGTATAACGGAGGAGGACAGAGAAGCAAGGACTAGAGTCTGAGGGGAAGCTGGAAGCAATGGCACTTTCTACACAGAAGAGAAATTCGAGAAATATTATAAAAGAAGGACTAGGGGGCTTCCCTGGTGGCACAGTGGTTGAGAGTCCGCCTGCCGATGCAGGGGACACGGGTTCGTGCCCCGGTCCGGGAAGATCCCACATGCCGCGGAGCGGCTGGGCCCGTGAGCCATGGCCGCTGAGCCTGCGCGTCCGGAGCCTGTGCTCCGCAACGGGACAGGCCACGGCAGTGAGAGCGAGGCCCACGTACCGCAAAAAACAAAACAAAACAAAAAACAAAAAAAGAAAGACTAGGGCAAAGGGGAAGAAGAAAGAGAGAGGAGAAAAGGAAGGATGCACAGGGAGCTGAGGGGGAAGAGGAGGAGGATTTTAGAACATGGAAAGTGAGGGAGAGCAATGTGCCAGGGAAAGAGTTTCTAGCTTAAGCAATGGGATAAATGACATCAATATAGAGGACACAGTCATATATACTGAATTATAATATATTCAGTAATAAACATATTGAGTTTGATGTACATAAGAGGCATCTGATGGAAATAGTATATATAGTACGTAAGGGTTTAAGGATTTGGAGGAAATCTGGAATAAAGACATAAAATTAGGAATCATCAGTGTACAGAGAGTGGACGTCTTGAGTTTGGATAAGATAACCCACATGTGTAGAATGTCAAAGGGTTGAAGTCAGAATCCGAAGGAAGACCAGTATGTTTACACGGAAGCAGGAGGAAAGGTCTAGGAGACTGAGCAGAACAGCACAGGACAAAAGAAAACCAGGAGAGGAGCTGCCATGGAAGTGAGGGAGAGATTGAAGGGAAAGGTGAGCCCAAACCATTAAATACTACCAGTGTCAAAGAGAAAGAAAAAGTTACTGGAGACCTTGGCAAAACAGTTTCATTGTCGTGTTGGCTGGAAAACAAATTCCAGTG